GGGGAGAAGGGATAGAGGGAACCCCGTTGGAGGGCTGGTGCTCTGGGAATGGCCCCGTGGTCCTGTGCCCTCCAGCGAGGCAGCGGTGTGCATGTTCGGGGTCGCAGCTATTTAAGCAGCTCTTTCGGGGAGGGCTTCTCTGTCGTCCACTTTGATGCTGCAGTCACTTTGATGCATGGGCCACAAAAGCCAGTGTAAACCAGTTGGCTTTGTGGAATGATAAAGGATCCCAAGGAACAAGCCTAGGTCCTGGGGATGGCGAGGGCGTGAGGAGGCTTGGTAGCAAATTGGGAGCTGATAAAACTTTTCTTGTCCATCAGAGTTATTCCTGTGGGTAGCAAGAGGGAGTGGAGGCGGTCTTGGTTGCAGTGGCAAAAGGACAAAACAAGCCGGAGGGCTGAGAGCATGGCTCGTTTCAGTTCCCTGCGAGGTAGTTAATTGCTTTCCATGCTCTTGGGAGTGAAGTTTTGAGGCTGAGTTAACTCTGGTGCCTTTCTCTGCAGTACTGACTCAGGCACGTCGCCTCCAGGAGAGTTGCCTTCTGTCTGCGGCTGGCCTCAGCTACGGGGCACAGTCCCTACGGACCCACCACCTCCTAGAGGTGCCTGCAGTGGGACCCTGGGGGACTCTGACAGCATTCACGTTTGGCAGCAAAACAGCTGTGACCCTGCCCTGTGCTTCGACTGTGTCCTGCCAGGCGGGCCACGGCTGGGGTCAGCGCGTCTGGGGAAGGAGGTGGCTCTCCCCCGGCTCCGCGTCTGAATCCCCTGTCGAAATCCTCTTGAGCTGAGGCTGTCGCCTTCAGACTCTGCGCCACGCTGGGGCTTGTGACCCCGTCCTGCCTGCCGCTGCACCCCAGCCTGAGGTGAGCGCAAGCTGCTGCGGCACGAATGGCTCCTGCGAACTAGCAGGTGAATGAAAATTACCGTGTAGCATGAGCTCGCTAATAGCCAATTCTTGATGCGTTTAACAGCTTGAAGCTAATTAAATTTAAGCTACTTAGAGCTGCTAGGCGACTGTGTTCCAATGCCATCGATACAACATGAAACCGGGGTTCGCTTCCAAGTCCCAGAGATGAGAATATTGCTAGAGGATGAGGTGCCACCTAGTAACAGACCTTTAATCACAATCACTACTCCTCTGCGAGGAGGCAGAGCATTGGCTTTTTGCTCTTAAACCAGGGCCAAGCACTCTCCAGGTGCGTGGCTGCTCTGACCTTTCAAGCGAGCCGAAAGCGATGTGGCCTCTTGCGATGTGTGCAGCGCTCATGGCGTTTTAAACAGCGGGAACTGATTTCATTACAGGAAGAAGCATCACTGTGCAGACTTCTGTACAGCGGTATGGATCTAGCCACAGCAGGGGCTTGGACCAGTCTGACTTTTAATTACAGAACAAGACAAATCAGCCCTAATGAAATAGTTGTTCCTGACCTGTGGTGCTCCTGTTTGCTTATCTGTGTCTTTCTGAGTTTGCGGGGTGGCTATCGCAGCTGTTCCACGTGCACACACACGTTCACGCTGTGGCACCATTGTAGGTCCCATGTTTCATTCAGTTTATCCCCACAATTCACCTCCAATACAGGGAGGCGCCTGTTGCCATTTTATAGAGGGTGGAGCTCAAGGTTAAGCTTACAAGCCGGTTAAAAGTTTCCAGTTTTTATAAAGAAAAAAGCCTCTAAAGCTTTGAAACACTCTAGTGGATTTGCCCTGGAGTTTTCAAGGACCATAAGAAAGCTGGAAACCGAGCTGCAGTGACCTGTCCCATGCTACTGCCTTCCTCATTAATTGAAATTAGGAAAAATTAAGAGAAAAGCTTTTTCCCCGTACATTTGCAAACCCAGCTCGGCGAGGCTGCATGGGCCTGACATTACGTGCGTGGGGAATCTCAGGGGGCATCAAAGGGCTGTTTCTGCACTCACGCCGAGTGAAGAGTCACGTGTTCGAGGGCACCTTATCATTCCTGGGCGGCGACAAGCAAAGACTTTGTTCCTTAAGCACAAATAACTCCGCCTCGGGTCACAAAACGAATCGCTAAAGGTAGACCCAGCAGAGAGCAAAGCTAAGAGGCCGGGAATGCGCGTATATTAGAAAAGTCGCAGTGTTGGCTGCGACAGCAGTCCAGCCATGGGATGTAGCCCCTGCTCTCTGCTGCAGTTGTAGGGAGAAGGGGGCGGCCGCTGCCAGCACTGCAGGGCTGTAAGGGAAGAGGTGGAGAAATACCAGGCGGGCGGGGCTCGGGTTTAGGCTAGCAGGTTGTGTTTTGGAGCAAGAGATAACCCTTGCTAGCCTTATCACTGAGGATTTTCTGTGTAGCTCAGTATTTCTGTTACCCCAGCACATCTAACAGGTTGTTTTCCCACTGCGCATGGCCAAAGTGCCAACTTCTTCTAATTGTCTCACCAGCCAGCACCCACAGTCAGCCCTAGCTATGGGCTACGCACAGGCGCTTCAGCTCCAGCCTTTCTTGATTATCTACGGTAAAACAAAAAACGATTTGGGGGGATGATTTCTTTGCGTGATGTGGATGGCAAAGGAGGGAGGCAGGAATGATACCAATGTGAACACAGTGACTCAGCGGCAGCTGAAGATCTGGCTGCTTGTGTCTGCGCGGGTGTTACGTTTATTTATCATTTTGCTCATGGTAGTTGAGCCAGGCACAACTGTCAGGTGTGGTTAGGGCAGATGCAGAGGCTCGGCTGAGCCCGGAGCAAAATGCAGTCAGGCTAGCAACTGCAAATTTCCAACATCCGTAAAAACAGCAGGTTGGAGCTACAGCCACGTGGTAGTCGTGCCGAGAGGAAGATTGTGCTGGCTGTGGTGAAAGAGGAAGGACTCAAGTTTCTTGGCGGTGCAAGAGCAGGGAGGTCACTGAAGGCAAAGGAAGAAGGGGCCAAAGTACAAAAAAAGAGCTGGAGGGAACCTGGAACGAGGGAACTGGCTTTTCCTGTGACACCAAGTTACACATTAAGGCCATGATTGACGAGGAAGCCAGGTCATCTCCTGCTCGCCCGACGGCGGCTGGATGCTGCACCGTGGTTTGTCCGTAGTGCCAAAGCTCTTCCCCAGCTGCTCGGCGTGCTGGGAAGGCACCATCCCTGGCTCTGCCGCGACGTGCTTCTTCCTCATGGCCGTGCGAGTCAGAAAGCATCCTGCTCTGGCGAAGCCACCATCATGTCGTCGCTTCCCAGTTCAAGTCCAAGCTCGGTCACAGCCGGGGCACGTGGCCCGTCTCCGCGGGCACTGCCGCGGTGGTCCCTCCCACGCCGGCGGCACTGCCGGGCTGGGGAGGGGGGCTCAAGTGCGTGTTTCTCATTCTCCTGGGGGAGCGGTGGCTACACCTCGGTGGAGTACTCCATCATGCTGGGGGAGAAAGGAGAGGGGTGTCATGGAAGGGAACTGTCCGAATCGGGAAGCAATGGGGAGGTGTGGAAAAACATTCAGAGTGGGAACAGGGCCTTTTGCCAAAAATAAATGGAGAAAGAATGACACACTGTTTGTGGAAAATCCCTGTTTGTGGGAAATCCCGCTGTCAACGGGAAGCCAGAGCCTGAAAGCTGAACTGTGGCAGCGTGGTGCTTCCTGAGCCCTGCTCGCCTCTGCTCTCACCTGGATTTTGGGGTGGCACCTGGGACGGGGTGGCAGCTGGGACAAGGTGGCTGTGAAGAGGGGCAGGCTGAGCCCCCCTCCAAAGCGGGGCTCTGTCCATGAAGGACAGCAGCACCAGGGTGGCCCAGCCTACGACTCTCAGCTACATTGGTTCTGTTTCCAGCTGAAATACTTAATATTTTTTTAAACAAAGTTTAAATGGAAAATTTGGGCAAAATTGCTCCTTGTTTTTACCTGGAGCTTTTCTTTTTCTGAAGGAAAAGCCAAAGCCAAGCAGATCCTTCCACTGAGCTTTAGTATTGAATTGCCTCAGGTGGGACTCATTTCACTGGCCTTGAGTGCCTAAAAGCCAGGCATCTGGGCTAGTGAGCGAGGCCACAGGCATGGAGGGAGGTGGATCCTCATTAATGGGTAATGCAGCTCATCTCAGAAAGGACATTTTCTGCTGTAGGTGCCAGGTAGTAGAGGCTGGGCTGAAAGCTGGGGGAGAAGCTACCCTGAAAAGGGTGGTGGAGGAGCTGCCCTGAGGACAGGAGCTCACAGCCCCACCTTCTCCATGCCTGCGGTGGTGAGTGTTAGCCTGGTCGTGGGGCTCTGGAGCAGATGGATCCTGCAGCCAGGCAGGTCTCCCGCTGGAGGCTGTGCTGTCTCTGAGCACAGCAGCCCCGGCATCTTCTGGGGCATCACCCACCTCAGTTCTTTACGAAGGCTGCTGTGTTTTCTGTCCAGAAATTGATTCTTAACCGACTGAGGGACATCGGGAACGTACCAGGCTGCAATCAGTTTGATGCACAGAGCCACGTGCTGCAGAAAGCAAAGGGAGCCGCCATGGGCAGTGAGGAGCTCCCTGGGCTGGTTAACGTGGCCCGCGCGAGTGGCACGGACCCAGCCCGTTTCCCCCTGCTGCCGTCCCCCTGATTGCCCCAGCCTCCTCCTGCCTCCCCAGGTGCTCACCTCAAAGAGGATGAGGAAGGCAAGCCGGGCTGCGAAGATGTGCCAGAACTGGACGGTGTAGCTGTAGTCGTCCGCGTTCCTGTAATCCCGGTACCTGCAGCACAGCCCCGTCGGTGCCAGCCCAGGCCC